GTGAGTATTTGACCACCGCTGCTTGAAGGCCATCCTTCAAATTAAGCACATGGACTTATTTTCAAATAAGACAGTCTTCGCTCGTCGCAACATCATCGAGGTATATCGCAGGCCGTCCAAAAGAGATGACTAAGGTTACTTTAACAATTCTTCGTCATCCGCCCCACTTAATTAGGTTTACTGCCATATATCCGGCGTCGTTGCCATTTGCAGGCATCTAAGAGGTAGTCAACTGAAAGCGCGGCTCGATACAGCCCGTAAAGACATGTACCTTTGGTATTTGGTCTCCGTCATTGACAAAGAGAATGGGTTGAGCTGTTTAGATCTGCTGCCGCGGATTGTAGGGGTCGAACCCAGAACATACTCGAGGCCGGCTAGATCTGACATGATCACAGCCGAAACAAGTGCAAGCATACATTTCCAAATGTGTCAGCGGTTTGAATTTTTTGTTTAGAAAAGGACTGAAGCCACTGGAACGTCAGTCACAAGTTTGGACTGACGAAGGTTGAATGAGTACGCCTGCACTCTGGAGATTTACTCCTGCATTTTCATCCATTCATGTCATAAGGGGTTCTTTCTAAGGGTTTTAAAGCGGTATTGCTCTTCCAGTTCGCGGTCCTTCATTTGTGGCTATGAAAAAGAGACCTCTGACAGAATTCACTTTGCCGGCGTTTAGACGGCTGGTAGAAACCTTAGAGCACCCCCCTATAACCTCTTGTGTTCCAGCCTCCATCACATATTTTTTCAGGTTTACGTCCACATCCATATCGGCACCGGATAAAACCACGAGCCCCTTTGTGACTAAAAGGTGTTGTTACTGTAACGGGCCTGAAGTTCTAATTGGTCTCTGAATAACCTCTTAGATGCCCTTAATACCGTTCAGCAGGAATCCCTCGAATCGATGAATTCGTCAACCTTTCCATTAACACGCCTTTTTGCCCTATATCCTTCAACATGAGCTCAGCATGTCGACAACCACACAGTCAGAATTGTCTCTGTTTTTGCTAATCGCATGTGATGGAAGCCTCATTTTATTTTGTTAAAACCACTTTAGAGCTCCGGTGGTGGAGAGTACGGATTTCCAGTCGACTGGTGGGCCCTGGGTGTTCTCGTCTACGAAATGCTCTGCGGGGAAACCCCCTTCTACTCTGATGATCTAGTTACTACCTACTCGAAGATTATGAGTCATACTACCAGCCTCCATTTGCCGGATGACCTCCTACTCACCGACTCCTGCCTGAACTTCATAAAAAGTGCGTTCATCCCTCTCCTCCTTCCACCAACAATTTATTTGTCATT